TGAATATGCCGTTCTCTTACTTGTGCAATGTGCATAGTGCCGTTCTCCATGCGGTTTGGCTTTGTATTAAAGATTCCTTAAAGTACGCTGATCGAGAATAGATGATTGACGAATTCAAGTCTCAGCTCCGTCGTACTCCGTTTTATTGATTCACATCTACCTGGATATTCATATAATAGCTTATAATGTTATAGTTATACGTACATAACTTCACAATGTAATTGTACACAGTAAAGGGTGTTCACGATACATCGGAACGGTTTCAAACATCTGAAGACTAGATTAATTCATGAAGGAGTAACCAGCTATATTAAATTATATTATGCGCTAAACTTACCTGGGGACCCCAGGCTATTATATTTATATTTATGTTCATAATCCGCCGAATTGAGATTATAAGGCGGAATATGCGACAGGCTGAGCGCCGCCCAGTAAGCGCTTAACTATAGAAGTATAGAGGCCAGCAACTTCAACTTCAAGTAAAACCTTACGAGGCATATTATTATTAATATGTTCCGTTGACCTAAATGATTGATTTGGGAACGAAAATATGGGAATTTTTACCGAAGCCGATTTTTTTCATCTCCTTATTTTACAAAAATGAAACCCAATATTTGAGAAAATTAAAAACAAAAATCCTTTCTGATCAGCTGTTAGTGTTCCATCTTAATGTAAAAAATTTCTCCCGAGCCTTTGAAAGTTAGCCTAAACTTAATTTATAATCCTCCTGAGGGTATAGGAGACCGACAGCGTTTGTTATCTTCAAATACTCCCGAAATGTCACCGCCGTGGCCAATAAGGTAGTGACAGAGCTTGCTTATTTTCAATGGAACGTGTCCAAAATCATTTTAAAATATTTCATGATCGAATACTAGTGTTCATTAATTGTTTGATGAAACATATTTGATTCTCTACGTTTCATGCTACCCTGATCATTATGAGCCGAAATCATTGTTATGATATCCGGCCAAGCACCTTCCCAACTACTTGACTTTAGCAGCCAGATAACCTATCGATTCCTAAATTCGAACAAAATTCGATTCCATTTTTGAAATTTGAATTAAAATATTTTCAAATTGTTATTATTCTAGAGGGTAAAAAAGACAATCTTGACTACGTAATCAACAGCCAACCCCCCTCCCCCCCCCCGTAATCAGCCGTAATCATTTGGAAACCCCCCCCCCTCGGCTGATTACGCGACGTAATATGTGAACGACCTCTTATAGCTAGGGGAAATACTGTATTATTACAACCATGCATATTTCATAATTTCAACCGTGCACAGCTCGCTGCTCGAACCGCGTGAATAAGAACCGATAGAGCAACCAAAAACAGCTGACAGTAATAGCCTGCACACTTTTAGTCAAAACAGGAGAGCTGTAACTGTAGACAAAGAAAGGTAAATATTAAAGCGTGAGATGTTTTGTGTCCAAACTTTGGACACCAAAGTGTTAATGACCCCAATTAACTTGTACACTCTACACTTCCGGCAAAAGAAAGCTGCTAATTGCTCTGCTGCTCCACGTGTGACGAGATGGTCTCCAGTTAATGTAACTTACAAGTACAGGGTGGGCCAAAAGTCAGTGTGCAAACGTTGGCCTTAATAGCTCAGTCACTGAGTGCCCAATCGAAATACTTCCTTCTGGTATGACTTAGTACCACCACTGGTTCGAGGAATTTGCCAACTCGAAAAATATTCGCGTTCATTTTTTTCAAATGGAGGTTCATTTTCACATTTATTTGATAGTTAGGATAGTCGGATCAAGCTAAATGTTATTGAATTGTGTTTGGCCATTCGAATTACGTTTGTCCTGAAAGAATTAGAACTGTAGCTTCTCATATGACCGAGATATGAAGCATAACAAGTTTATTCATTACGTGTGATCAGGTGATTGGTTTACCTAATCACGTGATAAGGTGACCCCGTTAACTACCCCGTTAAACATTATGGGAATTGTTAAGGGTGCCCAATTAAGGTGTCGTGTCACGGTGTCACATAATCACCCAGTCAATTTTGTTAACGAGATACACAAAATGCTTGATAACTTCGTCATTTTTAATCCGTTTTGCCTCATGTTTTCAGATCATATGCAACATTTGATAATCTACCGTCTCTGAAAAAATTAGGCGTTCAGCATGTTCAGAGAAAACAATATATGTGTTTTAATATTGAATGGGCGTGGTCTAAAATATTCAAATTTTCAAATTTTGACGACGGAATCCTCGAACCAGTAAGTACAGTATGCCATCTGCAAAGCAACAGCTCTCAAATATAAAACACGGCGGAGGTATAAGACCCAACGTTTGCACACTGACTTTTGGCCCACCCTGTACAAGTAAATGAGGATGATGATTAATCATGATGAGAGGCTAATTACCGCTGGGAGATGACTTACTTTGAGCAAGATTTAAACGCAATTATATGTTGCATACGTAAAGGATCATGGTATTATGAAATAAGAAGTACAATTATTGATGTGGATTCTCGTGGGGAGGTGAGGTACATTTGTTTACCAGTAGTAGTACCTCATTACGAGACATATTTATGTATATAACAAAAATATGTCGAATAATATTTCGAATATATTCGAAATATTATTTGACATATTTATGTCCGACATATTTAATAAATATAATTAAAAATAATAATAATTTAATAAATATGTCGAATATTTTTTTAAATAATTCTAACATCCAAATTCCGGTGACTGGAGCCACATTTCGTACCCTAAATTAAATTATGGTATTTGGGGAATTTTTTCATTTTTATTTTACAAAAATGAAACCCAATACCGTATTTGAGAAAATTTAATATGAAGATTTTCTCTGATCAGCTGCTTCATCTTGTAAAAAATTCAACTTAACTTATAATCCTCCTGAGGGTATAGGAGACCGACACCGTTTGTTATCTTCCAATACTCCCGAAATCAGAAATGTCACCGCCGTGGCCAATAAAGTAGTGACAGAGCTTAATTATTTTTAATGAAACGTGTCCAAAATCATTTTTAAAGCAATTCAATATTCATGATCCAATACTAGTGTTCATTAATTGTTTGATGAATCATATTTTGTATTTATAATTATAATATAACTTACTGTACCCACTCGGCACTAACGCCTTAAAATCTTTAATTACAATCAAATATAAAAGCTCAGTGCGTGCTCGTTATATAAAATATACCTTACCGGACCTTATTTGGACGGACATTAATTGAACACTAGAGGCCCTAGTTACTATCTACCTCCAAATTTTCTCTTACAACTGGTTGTCTGTCCAACTCGTAGTCTTACCGGGCAATAAACGATCCCAACTGCTCTACTAGAGAGATACTTAAGCTTTATCTCTAGCCCCCCACTTGGTATAGGCGACCTTTAGTGGTTTATACCTTCTACCATACCACCCATCTCGATAAAGTAGAAGAAAAACCGGGATATCTCCCTAGGTATGTGACCGACGGTATCTTATCTAGTCCTGTAGGTACCTTCGTACCTTATCTGCACAACGTAGCTATAAGGATCGCAAAGTCGTGAGGCGGGGCCGGTCTCATGTGTGATGAAGACGTCCTGGGTTCTGGTTATCAGTCGCCCAAGTTGTCTGGTTGTAGAATGTAGATATGTTAGCCCCTACGATAACAGGCAACATACTTCCAAAACATTGGGCAATAAGTTTTATCGAGAACATCATTGTGCCGTATGTTAACGACGAAAAGGTTCTCCTTGGTCTGCCGGAGGCACAGAAAACTTTACTAGTATATAATGTTTTCAAGGGTCACTTGACGGAAAAAATCAACAAAATTATGGCACTCAACAACAATCAACATAGTTCATGAGCTAGTCCCCGCCAACATGACAAACTTGCGTCAGCCTCTAGATATCAGTATTACGGTAAATCGTGTTGCCAAGGACATTGTCTGACGTTTTTATAGTTCATATTACTCAGGGAAGGTAATGAAGCAGTGCTAGAAAAGCTCCACGTGATGTTAAGGTTAACCTAAAGTTGTCTAAGATAAAACCACTTCACGCCGAATGGCTTGTAAAATTTAAATTTTAACTGCTCAACGACTGCTGTTCTTGCTTACTGTATGAAAATGGATTTAAAAATCATTTGCTAAAATTTAAAAAAACGTCAAAAAAGGATGAAAAAAAATTCGGATTTTTGATGGTTTTGAATTCCTTCTAGCGTTCATATTAATGTCCGTTCATTTAATGTCCGTCCAAATAAGGTCCGATAAGGTAGTACATATTACTGCTTATCGAATCACTTAGTAATAATCCATATTAATTCATAATTATATTCATAATTGTGTTCTCATATTACGCCGTTACCCCTCCACGAATGTTACTGTTAGTGAACTTGAGCTGTCGGAAGAGCTGTGGAAATGGCTGAATTTACCGTATTTAGTTCCAACATTCCTCCTTTACTTGTTTACTTATCTCAAGATAAAGTAGTCTCGTAGTTAATTTGTGCTGCACTAGGTACTCTTATCGAGGTACATATAGATAAAATAATAGTTTCTAAACTATTATCTTATCCTTTATCTATGTACCTCGATAAGATGTACATAGATAGGAGTATGTTTTATTTTTGATATTTAAAAGTAAATTGCAATAGTTTGCACCTCTAAAGCTCTAAGAGAAATAAAACTCAATATTCAATGTAACTTTTTTAAACTATGGTCATTTAACGAACAAATACATTTCTTTAAGACGATCATCATAAACATATGCTTTTTAAAGCTTCGGTTACTAAAAAGTATAGTATCAGCAATAGTATGTATAATAACAATAAGAATAACATCGCTGTATAGCCTAAAAGAACTAAAAAGTTAAAGATTCGGTTGAAGCCATTTTGATTTATACTCTAAATACTTTACAATTATACTCTAAATACCAAAAAACTAATTCTGACGATAATTCTGGAGATCAGCTGATCGTCTTCCAAAATCAACAAACTATTCACCGTTTCTCTGGGAATCAGCTGATCGTCTTCTTAAAACTCTCTAATCGTCTTCTGGAGCTGATCGTTTTCCAAAATCAACAAATGGTTCACCGTTCTGCTGGAGTTCAGCTGATCGTTTTCCAAAATCAACAAATGGTTCACCGTTCTGCTGGAGTTCAGCTGATCGTTTTCCAAAATCAACAAATGGTTCACCGTTCTGTTGGAGTTCAGCTGATCGTCTTCCTAATCCTGGAGGCTGGAGTTCAGCTGATCGTTTTCCAAAATCAACAAATGGTTCACCGTTCTGCTGGAGTTCAGCTGATCGTCTTCCTAATCCTGGAGGCTGGAGTTCGGCTGATCGTTTTCCAAAATCAACAAATGGTTCACCGTTCTGCTGGAGTTCAGCTGATCGTCTTCCTAATCCTGGATCAGGCTGGAGTTCAGCTGATCGTTTTCCAAAATCAACAAATGGTTCACCGTTCTGCTGGAGTTCAGCTGATCGTCTTCCTAATCCTGGAGGCTGACACTGCGTCAGAGCGATCAGTTCTAGCACTAGTAGAAAACAGAATACTTTCGTCATTGCTGCGGGTCTGGTGTTTTTTTTTAGATAAAAATAATAGGATACGAATATGGGGAGGGGGGGGGGGGGGCTCATGTTTTGTGTCCGTTTTTGTCCGTGCGGTACCCTATATTTTCAAGACGGACAAAAAATAGGGCGGACGCCGGACAAATACGGACAAAAACGAACAAAAAATGTATTGAAATAACATTTAGATACTTCTTTTCTACACCGATTAGAGTCATGCTTATCAGTTATCAGTTATCAGTATTTGTAACATTCAGTCGATAAATCACTGTCATGTTTGAGGTTCGTATTAGTATTACCTTAAGAACGAAAAATTCAGTCTACCATAAATTTAGTCAAAGTTTTGACTAAAATTGTTGTAAACCAAATTTCATGAGACTAAATTTTTCGGCGACTAATTTTTAAGGAGACCAAAATTTCAGTAGGCATATATGACATGAATATTGTTGAGTTTACATTGTCTATAATTAATATAATGACATCACCGTCCCTACTGCTGAACTACTTCGTTGGGAGGAAAGACAGTTGCGAAACTACGAAGCACAAAACTGTACCAAAGTCCTATTGCACTTAGAGCTCCTCTTGGACATTACATTGGACATTACATTTTTAATCGATCCATCCCAACATGTTCTGTTGAATCGGCTGAAGGATCATATCGACATAAACTACGTCGTACCGACAGAAATGGTAAAGTCAAAAAAGGGTGAAAAATAAACCGAACAGCGTACTGAAGAACTTAGTGATACAGAGTCACAGACTCTGGATCTGGTGTTATTGAAATTCCTGAGTAATGCATTGCAGCTTCTGTAATGCTCAGACGGGTGCTCATTACCGAATTGATAGATAGCATTTTATTTTACAAATTATTTGTTTTATTTATTTATTGCAACAAATCATTTAATCAACATGCCTAATGTTAAACTATAAAGTCTGACTTTATATGCGAAATCGAGGGGGAAAACTAGCTAAATAATGGAAAAATCAAATAAACGGAATGGAAAATGGTTTCGAAAAGTCGAAAAATGTTACCATAATTTTTGTAGACTAAAAATTTGCGAAATTTGTGACTTAAATTATGGTAACCAAATTTATTGTGAACCAAATTTGTTGGTCCTAACTCCTAAGGTATATTAATTCTTGGTTGAAGTACAATCCTTTATTCCAACTGCAAGTCATGAAATGGAGGCAGATATATGCATCCTTGATTAACATTGCTGACTATAAATGATACTCTCCGAAATTCTTTACTGTAATGGACCGTTGACATTTTGCTTGAGCCTTTTTGGTAATTTTAGACCCTGTTCCTCTCCTTCTGGAGCTTGGTAAATTTGATTTATTTATGAGCTAAAACCGTTGACCGTTACATCAACCAATAAAATACGTTTCTTCTGTAATTGCGCCCGTGAATGAGTAAATTTGATATACATATTATGTTCCCTAACGATTTTTATCCAATTGCATCGATTCGTATTGTATTGTATCGAATTGTATTGGATTGTATCGAATTGTATCGAATTGTATCGAATTGTATTGGATTGTATCGAATTGTATCAACACTGTATATTATGATCTTCGGCAAGGACAATATAATTATTTAATAACATTAAAAACATTATCAAGAAGAGCAAACTAGCACTGAGGGGTTGATCATCAAGAAGATATATATACGGTCTATGGAAGACTATTGTTCTTAAAGTTAACAACTGTTGATATTTCAGGAATTTCCATATCATTGTTTGTCCATTAGCTGGTAATGGTATGAAGAATGTCTTGAGCAGGTATGTTTGTGTAAGACTGCTGTCCTCAAGTCTCCTGATCTGATCTGCAACTATTTAACAAGTTCCAGTTGAAACAATAGAAGATGTTGCCAATAAATCTACAGAGTATCGATTGAGATTCACAAACAAAGGGGAACAAAAAAACTGTAAAATTTTGCAGCTTTGCCATCAAAGTCATAGTATAGTGCAGATCCGAAGGGTGCAGCTCTGTGGATCGAGCGAGGGACTGCTAAATAATTTGCGAGGACCTCTGAATTATCATGTGAACTCTATCCTGGCTCTTTAAAAACCATTTCTAAGTCAACTGAAATCCTTAATTAATCGTCACTGTTTTGTACCCCTGTTTAATTTGAAGTGATCTGATGTTGGAGCCGGTTAATGGTCCGGTTCAATTAGTGCGATGCCAAGTTCCAATCACATACCACAAACTGTTATTACTCGAGGGTTGCTTTAACCAGAAGTATGTTGTAAAGTTGTAACCGCAGGACACCTATTGTATTATACACTATGTGTTTTGCTTACCCCGACGCCACTTTCAGTCTCTGTTATACGGTATAAATATTTGTATCACGTTGCGACCCCCACGGTCGTTTCACTATGGTCCTGACGATAGTGATACATAATAATACAGGGGGAGCCGCGCACTTCGTGCGCAGCGGGTCATACAACGTACAACGTATGACAAATAAATATTGATTAAGATATAAAAACTAGAAGGATTTATTCATTGAATTTAAGTGCTTATAGTTATACTTAAGTTAATTTAAAAAATACTCTACCTTATAGTTGACCATTGTTAATGGTCTGGCCCGGCGCGCGCTACTTCGTAGCACAGCTTGTCGTATTTGATATTACTGTTTTCCAACATTAAGTGATCTGATGTTGGAGCCGGTTAATGGTCCGGTTCAATTAGTGCGATGCCAAGTTCCAATCACATACCACAAACTGTTACTCAAGGGTTGCTTTAACCAGAAGTATGTTGTAACCGCAGGACACAGTGTAACCTATTGTATTATACACTACTAGAAAACCCGTGGTCACAGGGAGGAAGCTAATACTAATAGTATTGTTTGTTAGTAAGTTTGAATCGCGTCAAAAAATATCCTACACAACCGAAGATACAGCCAATTCAAATGTTGCTCGTACTATACCGAAACGCAGCGTAATATTCGCAAGTAATTAAATTTCCTTCTTCGAAAAAAGGGTCCCAATAGGAATTCATCTTAATATGAATCTTGAAATTTATACTTATAGTTTCGTACCAATTAACTTGAAAACCCCTAACTTGAAAACGCTTAACTTGAAACCCCTTAACTTGGAAACCCTTTCGGAAAGTCGCGTTAAAGTTGATTCCGTGGTGTCAGTAAAATGGTACGGATTAACACATATATAGTCTCGATCTTTTCCCTTAACTAATAAAGGTAATGGTCACCGGGGGAAAGCTTGTCAGTGGTCATAGCTCAAGGTCAGTGTTTATGAGTGATGAGTAATCGTATTCAGTATTGCGGAAGTGGTTTTCAGTTGCGTGTACTGAATATCGAGTCTAAGAATTTATCACCCTGAAACTTTGCACACGATCCAACAACTTTTGCTTCTGAAAATACATACATACATTGCATTACACATCTGAATCATTTCATTACAGGTCCCTCACCGTCTCATTTGATAGATTTGTTCTTTGTTCAAATTGAAATGTTTACGTATGAATGAATTGTGATAGATACAAAAGGAAATTTGTGCTGAATGGAATAGGAGAGTTGACATAATCTATCAAATGACTCAACACTTGAATTTGTGCGGAGTCGGTCATTATTCAGTCGGTGTGATGTCTCTTCAGGGGTCTCGTGGTCAAGTCTAGTATTTATCCTCTCACGGTCAGCTTCCAATCTCTCATTTCTCTCCGCATCACTTTCACGGGCTCGGCGATCACGGTTAGCTTCCAATCTCGTATTTCTCTCCGCATCACTTTCGCGGGAAAGGCGATCACGGTTAGCTTCCAATCTCGTATTTCTCACGGCAGAATTCTCACGGGCACGTATTTCACGAATTCTTAAACGTTCAGACTCTAGTAGGGCATTTCGCTGTGCAGAATTTCTTACCTGGTTTCGACGTTCACGGCTACGCACTCTCTCCTGTTCTCTTTCATTGTCAACGGTCTGTTGGTCGGTGTCTATGTCCATTAATTCAACGGGTAAATTTTCCATGTGAATAGCAATTAGATGCAAGAACAAAAATTAAAATATCACAATACGGTTTAGAATGGAGAGTCTGCGTTGTAGGTGAGTATAGTTGAAGATGTAACGTAGTCGTAGACTGCGATGTATTACTATCGATGTAATAGAAGGGATAGCTTTTACCGGAAGTTAATGTAGTTCGGAGATGAAAAGATTTGAAAACGCTGTTTGAAGGTTTGTTAAAAGTCAGACGCAAGACGTATGTTGAAATTACACTAAAGAAATGGCGTTCAAAACGAAGTAAAAATTGTTAAACGGTCGACGCGCGGGCAGAAAGAGTTTTAGCAGAGTTTTAGCGCGTCTTAGAATTCAATCATTCACACGCAAATTCTGCACGTGCGACATTAAAATGTACCATGCCAACGTTTGATGTAGTTGGATTTGTTTACATAATTTGCACGTGGGCGGTCGTACAACATCAGAAAGAATCTTTTGAATTATAGTAGAGATGTGTTTTGCTTACCCCGACGCCATTTTCAGTCTCTGTTATACGGTATAAATATTGATTAAGATATAAAAACTAGAAGGATTTATTCATTGAATTTAAGTACTTATACTTAAATTCATTTAAAAAAGACTCGACTTTATAACTCTGAATTGGTCCTATAGTGCAGTAATTAGAAGACATTGCTTGGTTGCTTTGGGATTTTGACTTCTGATTCAAATTCAATTTCCATATCTACTACATACTATAGCACATATAGCAGATGCTCACTAGCTCTTCATCTGAGAATCGAGTTCTTGCCTAGCCTATACTAAAAATCTACCAAAAATTTTTTAAATTTCATGATGTCAGTTCTTTCATTTGTCAATTATTTGTTCAATTTATAATTATTGTTGGTGTTATTGTTCACACAATTTATTGTTACTGAAATGTTTTTAAACGCATTTGAGTCTGTAACATATTTTCATGTTACTGCAATGTTACTGACTCAAAATGTGCTCAAGAATGTTTGTGTTTAACAGAGTTTTTTCTCCA